CCGAGCTCTCGTCGTGAGCCGGTTCGCTGTGTTACCTCCTAGCCCTTGGCAGGAAACCAGAGTAGCGCAGAGCCCGCAAAACACTCCCGTTAACCCTTCACAGTTCTCTCTGACAATCAAACCTCTTCCGGCCCTTTTGCGTGAACCTAGTTACACGGAAATTATCTGCTCACGTGACCGCTTGAAAACTCCGGGTAAATGTTACAGTCTGGTCATTTCAGGGAGGGGGAAATCTGGGAAACTCTTAGGGATGTCAGGTGAAGTGTAACATCAGAACAGCCACTTCGGTGAAAAAAAAATTTTTTTATGATAATCTTTTAAGTAGGTTTACTTTTTTGGGGGGTGAAATTTAAAATGTGCATGACCCAGCAATTTCATGTCTAAAACAATCAGAAACTGCTACAGGTGTACACAAAAAGACATGCTTATATTCAAGCCTGCTCCCTTCTAAAAAAATTAATAAAAATAACAGAAATGTCCCAATACGACGTGGATGATGTGATATGTTTCCAAGATAAAATATTACAATGAAACTAATAAGTAGCAACATTTGATAGCTCATAGCATGAGTTACTGAAATGGCGACATGCCAACAAACTACACTGTAAAATATACGTACATTTAAAAGTACATAGAATAACAGTATATCCTGATTATGGAAAACCTGTGTATAGAAAATGAACTACATGCATAGATGGACACACAATGTGATTATGTTATGAGGGCAGGAGACGGGACGGGTGGACGGGTGGAAGCCAGGATGGATGGGGAGAGGGTATAAACAGGACTTCAGATCCGTCATGATGTTACCGGAAAGGGGACCTGGCCCTTAGTGGGTCTGCCTCAAGCTGGCCCATAATGTGTGGGTCCTTGACTTTGTGCAAAAAAAAATTTCATAACATTAATCCAGGTGATTTTGAGAGTATGTTTATTAAAGCTGAGGACCGTGAAACAAGGGCTTATGACAGAAAAAGCAACAGGAGAGCATAGGTGGGGCTGCTTTGGCTCTCTGGAAATACTATAAGAAAGAAATGAGCCTAGGTGGAGCTGCTTTAGCTCACTGGGAAGTCAGAGAAACGGGGCTTTGGAGACAGGTTCAGGGGTTTAGCCTGGGACGAGCTGCTGCTGCCCATTGCTCCCCTGCTTGCAAGGCTCATGGGGACCCCTGGAGTTTAGGAGATGCACCCTTGTGGGGGAAGAAGAGCGGGGAGGGAAAGACAGGGGCATGCTCCAGGGAAGGGGAACTCATTCATTTTGGGATCTTCGTTTTGAGGTTTTTTAAAGGCTGGGAGTTGAGGAGCAGTCTTAAGGAAGGATCTCAACAGAATATTCATCAGCTTTTCCAAGTGTACCCTTTTCAGGCTCGTGGTCTCCACTGATTGGTTGGCACCAGGGGGGTCATTAGTCACTACAGCTGATCCTGGCGATGCCCACCTGGTTTTGCTGCTTTTCTGGGCCTGGTGTTGAAATACAACTTAGTCCTAGATGTTATCTCTAGGGAGATGACCTGTAGCTGGGGGTAAATTGCTCAGCCAGTTTGTTCAGCTGTCTCAGTTTCCCCATTCCACTTGCCAAGGAATTTTCCTAGGTTCTTACTAGCCTGCCTCAATGATTTCTTTTTAAAAAAAGAAGAAACCTAAAAATAAACATAGCAAAGTGTTAACACTTGGGTAGTGGAACTATACATTAGTCTCAGTACTTTTTTGTAACATTTAATCAAGTCACCTACCTCCAAATGATCCTCCCAAATCCAGCTAAACCACTTTTTCATCTGCCTCTTGTAACTCCAGTTCATTTCTCTTGCTTGGTTCCTCAGCTCCTGGGACTTTCAATCACCCATTATATAGTGCAGTTATCTGCTGCATATATCTATCTATAAGACTTGTTAGCTTTCTGAAGACATGATCCATTACATGAATTCCATGTAACCCTAGCAAGTAGCAAAGAGCCTGGCCAAAAGCAAACACTCAATACATGCTAATTGAACTGAAGTGTGAAGAAGGGAACCAAAAAAGTTTTCAATGCAGGGCCAGAAAGGTCTTTTTGGGGCATCCTATCTCAGAAAAGATTGGTGATGCAGTTGTTAGCAGCCATCTTGCAACCCTAAGGAGAGCCAGCCAATGGTAGGCAGCCTCTAAGACAGTGATTCTCAACCTTGGCTGCACATTAGAATCACCTGGGAATCTTTTTAAAATCCTGATTTCTGGGCCTCATCCTCCGGAAATTCTGTTTCTTTGTTATGGGGTGGGGCCACAACATTAGTAACAAAGAAACAGAATTTCCGGAGGATGAGGCCAAAAAATCCGGATTTTAAAAAGATTCCCAGGTGATTCTAATGTGCAGCCAAGGTTGAGAACCACTGCTCTAAGATGACCTCCACTTGTAATGGAGTGAAAAGCTGTCTCTGTGACTCTATCTAAATTCTAGCGTGCATTTTTCCCATGGCCTTCAGGCAGATAGCTCCTGCAATAGATATGCTAACCATTACAGGAATTCTGCCGGAGGCTTGAGTGTTTGGAATAACAGGAATTCACGTTCAATTCCCAGTCAGGGCACATGCCCAGGTTGCAGTTCGATCTCCAGTGTAGGACATGTGGGAGGTAGCAAATCAATGATTCTCTCTCATCATTGATGTTTTTCTCTCTCTCTCCCTTCCTCTCTGAAATCAATAAAAATCCTATATAATAAAAGCCTAATATACTAAGTGTCCAGTCATCCATTCAACCAGTCAAAGCATAATATGCTAATGATGTGCTAAAGCCACTCAAGCACTCACTATGACGTGCACTGACCACCAGGGGGCAGTGAACTGGTCAGTCAGTCGCTATGATATGCACTGACCACCAGGGGGCAGACACTCCAACCAGTAGTCTAGCTTGCTGCTGGGGTCTGGCTGATTGGGACTGTGCAAGATGGGCCAGACACGACCTGGAGCCCTCCCACGGTCCCTCCCGGCTAGCCAACCTCCTGTGTCCCTCCCCAGTCCTGATAGTGCACCGGTGGGGTCCCTAGGCCTGACCTGCACCCTCTCACAATCCAAGATCCCTGGAGAGCCGGTTTTGGCCCGATCCCACAGGCATAAAAGGCTAATATGCAAATCGACAGAACAGCAGAACAACTGGTCGCTATTACATGAACTGACCATCAGGGGGCAGACGCTCAACACAGGAGCTGGCCCCTGGTGGTCAGTGCACTCCCACAGGGTGAGTGCTGCTCAGCCAGAAGCTGGGCTCATGGCTTGCGAGC